AAACGCTCGAGATGTAAAAAATGCATCCGATGTGGATTCTCAAACGCAGTAATAATAGTTTTTTGTCGTTTCTATGGCAACCTGTAAAAATGAATCGCAACAATAGGCATACAAATAAATTTTTAAACCAGCAAAATTGATTCATATTTTTAATGATTTTCACCTACTAATCGTGGATGTTGAGAGGAAGAAAATGTTTCGCTTTAACGATATATATTAAGATATATTTGAATATTGTCGTGAAATTCTTAAAGCCTACCCTGTGCACGCGCGCGACCTTCACATGGCAACCGACTCGTGATCGAAGCAACGCTGACGTGTGAAAACAGTCGGACCGCGTCTCGAATATACAAGAAACGACGGAATGCCTGCCGCTGATGCACTAGAAACAGCTGGAACGGCGGGGAGTGCAGTGCCGTTTAGTCATAGAAATGGAATGTTCGAGAGCCTCTCGTGTCTTCCAGTAGCAGAGTTGGACTAATATAAATAGCCGACGTATCGGCGCTGAGTTTAGTTGAATATACAACATTGTAATGAAAAGTTAAAGTGTAAGAAATAAATTAGAATTGTTATTTAGTGTCTAAGTATTATATAAATTAAATAGTACGTCTGAAATAAATTGTAAATAGTGTGTTCTTAAATAAATAAACTAAAAATAAATTAGATTTTCGTCACAATATGTTATTTTCTGGAAAACTTTAAGGGCAAACAAAATTAGCGATGTCATACCTAATGTGATTTTTTAATCATTCATATAAATATATAAATGCGAAAGTGGATGGATAGGGATGGATGGATGGATGGAATGGATGGAATGGATGGATGGATGGATGGATGGATGGATGGATGGATGGATGGATGGATGGATGGATGGATGGATGGATGGATGGATGGATGGATGGATGGATGGATGGATGGATGGATGGATGGATGGATGGATGGATGGATGGATGGATGGATGGATGGATGGATGGATGGATGGATGGATGGATGGATGGATGGAAGGACGGACGGACCGGACGGACGGACGGATGGATGGATGAATGGATGAATAAATAAAAATAAATAAAAACATAAAAATAAATAAAAACAAATAAAAACAAATAAAAACAAATAAAAACAAATAAAAACAAATAAAAACAAATAAAAACAAATAAAAACAAATAAAAACAAATAAAAACAAATAAAAATAAATAAAAATAAATAAAAATAAATAAAAATAAATAAAAATAAATAAAAATAAATAAAAATAAATAAAAATAAATAAAAATAAATAAAAATAAATAAAAATAAATAAAAATAAATAAAAATAAATAAAAATAAATAAAAATAAATAAAAATAAATAAAAATAAATAAAAATAAATAAAAATAAATAAAAATAAATAAAAATAAATAAAAATAAATAAAAATAAATAAAAATAAATAAAAATAAATAAAAATAAATTAAATTAAAATAAATTAAAATTAAAATAAATAAAAATAAATAAATATAAATCAAAATTAGTTAAAATAAATAAAAAAAAATTAAAATTAAAATAAATAAAAATAAATAAATATAAATCAAAATTAGTTAAAATAAATAAAAAAAAATTAAAAATTATACAAAATTATTAAAAAATATTTAAAATTATTTAAAATTATTAAAAATTATTAAAAATTATTAAAAATTATTTAAAATTATTAAAAATTATTAAAAAAATTTAAAAATTTTTAAAAAATTAATTTTTTTTTAAATTAATAAAAAATAATAAAATTTAATTTTTTTTAAATTAATAAAAATTAATAAAATTTAATAAAAATTAATGATCATTCATTGTTTTATAAACACGACACCACGCGTGCAAAGCCGCGGGCAAAAGCTAGTATAAAATTTTTTTTTACCACTTTGCTCAGGATAGGGATTGGCACAGGTGCCATTAGGTAAAGTACAATATTTTTACATGCTTTTGGAATATATTTCATTTCGTTATCAAATGACGGTAAAAATTTGCAGTGGGCTCTTGGGCTATTATGATTTGATTCTGTATGCGCCAGGGATACAAATCCGAGTTGCGCAATGTATGAACTGGAACATTGAGATCAAAAGTGCCGAGTCAGAGTGAGCGAACTGATTCTTTAGCTATCACAGTTTATAGCTCAGTTCAGTGATGCATCTGTCAAAGAAGTAACTTCCCAAAATGCATTTGAATAATTTTATGCATGCAATGATCAAATGAGATTGTATGAAAATTATTCCGATTGGTTGTCACTGCGCATCCTTGGGAATTCTACAAGTGGTTATTTATATCAGGTTTTATCTTGCTACAGGTTTATAATCAAACCGACATGTCTGCATGACCCACCAATTTAAGAAACAATAAAAAGAATATACCTACTCCAGGGAATTTATGTGCGCGAGATCTTTCGTATATTTTCACTTCATCTTGGATGCTGAATGACCAAGCAGAGGCGGATTCAGAAATAAAATATTACAAATATACGCAACAGTTTTCTGTAAAAAAACTTAAGAATCTACCTATAAAGATAAACTAATGTAAATGCTTATCTTCACCTTTTGAGAAACTACTCTTACACAGTTGAGTAAGCGATCGCGTTCGGCAGGCTTTATGCTGAATGTCTTTTGCTGCAAATTTCACCCAGCGCGATGAATTTGAGCTGAGCCGACACAACATATGCTTAGACATGCGCAGTGAGATGACAGTTCATTGTTGCGCGTGCTTTTTTGATTTTTAAAACGTACATATTATGGAAACTAATACAGAAAATTTGTCAACCTACAGTTTGGTGTTTTCTGACGTGGATCAGCATCAGCCAATAATTGCAAACAATGGGCGCGTTCAGCCGACGCAACATTTGATTAAAACCGAAAACATGTTTCTGATATGGTGGAAATCAACAATTAAAAGTACCTGAACGGTATAAGTTGGTTCAGCGGTTAGACCTTTATCGATGTCTGTGGGTTAGACAATACACATACACGTGGTGACCTCTAGTGGTGATATAAATAAAATCATTTTCTGTTACAAATTAAGATCATCTAAAAATATACTAAGTTATAATCAGTCATAACGGATACTTTTCACCATGGTTTAACTTTAGAATTTAGAAAACAACAAAATGAATGTTCAAAGTTAAGAAATGTGAGGTTATAATTACATATAATCAGCTTTATCCTCCTAGAGTGGTTAAAAATCAATAAAAAATACTAGAAATCTCTAAATTAAAAATTCCTTTAGTTTGCAACACTGAGTACAATACTTCGTTTACAAAAGTCACCATAGAATTTTCCTGGTGCCGATGTTGAGCAACGGTTGAAACTAACCAAAACTCAATAAGTGACGTTCAGAAGACCCAACAACTCACCATACTCAACTGTTGCGTCGGCTAAACGCGCCCAATATAAGGTTATGTTCAACAGTCTAAACTGACAGGTCTGTGACAGACAGAGACTCAATGGTCAACGGAGCGTTCAGCCAATTTACATCTGCTGCCGGATGTTAATACCCAGCCGTTTAGCGCTTAAAGTTAACTGCTGACGTCTGGTGAACGCACCCGTTGTTTGTGTTGTTTTAATTCAATAACTCTATTGCTTACGAAAGCTGTATATAATTTTTATTTATCTCAAGACTTACCCTTTTCAGAATAATGAAACCCTGAACAAAAATAAGACGTGCGTTTGTTGAATTTTCGAGTATTTGACTAGTGACGGAATTTGGATTTTTAGCATCACTTTAATACGAACGGAATGCGAAATGATGGAAATAAGCGTTAATTATTGTTAATGTACCATACACGGTTTCCAACATGGTATTCAACATAAGTAAAATAAAGAGAACCACGTGGTGCAACCCTATACTCACAGCGATTCGGAAATTTATTCAAACAGACCAACCAATGCAAAAGGAACAGGGATAACATGTAATTACTTGATATGAAACGGCCTGCTGTCCCAGCCAAGGCATTCATGGAAAAAATGATGTTATTTAAATAACGCCGGTTAAGTCTTAACTAAATGAGAATCGAACTCCACAAAAAAAACTGATATGGTTGAACAACAAAGTCCCGAAAATAAAAGTAACCAATAATCCCAATTTAAATAAACTATAAACTAACGGTTATTTCGAACGCTCGGAAATAAAATTCAACAAGTTATCAAATAAACTTTATTTCCAATCCACTAGATAATATAGTCACAAAAATCAAAAATTAAATTATAGGTAATAATGTTTTCTCGAAAAGATCGCAATCAAAGCAATAGAAAAACGGTTGAAATACTTTTTGTGCTAATCCAAATTCGTCGAGAAACGGGTTTTACTTACCTCGAATAATTTGAATACGGAGAGTCGGTATGTTTTGCCAAATGGTACGGTAAAGTACTTTAGCTGCTAGAATTTTAGAACGCTGTACCCCCAAAATCAACCTCCACATACTCCGGTGCGCGAGACTGACTTAACGAGTGGGAGACTATTCCTCCCAACCATCAACCACAGCAGATCGGTAAAGGCTAAAATTTACGCAAATTTTAAAATAATAAATTATCGTTACCCATACAATAAATACGAATCCTACTTTCCACCAATATAAAATCTATTCCTTTCCAGCGGACACCTACGGATATTCGGACCCATTATATGATTTAAAGTAGTAACTTCATTACCCTAACTTAATTTTATAATAATTGTCTCTTTGTCTGGTTGATCAGCTGAACCGTCTCGCAAAGATTTTTGAAGGATCTAAAAAACATGGTTCAATACGAGACAGAATTTATAATTTATAGAATATTATGTAGTAAATTACATAACAATCATTAAAATGAAGAGGCTGGTTGATCTCTACCGTTGAAAACATAAGTATTCGCGGTAACTCGAAAGCGAATCTACAATAAAATTTAAATTGTACTGGTTACTCTTTCTAGCTATGAATGAGCTCAGTCAAACCGATACATAAATTTTAATATTGACTTTCAAAAAACTAATAACACAATATTAAATTGTCATAGGTCAGAAAAGCACGCCAATCAATTTATCCGGAAACGATGCCATGGTCGACTTACAGCAAGCTTCTGTTTTTAAAGAACCCTTCTTCATAGTCTTACTGGATTGTACAGACCAAAATACTATAATTCATATGTGGAAGTTAACTATTGCGTCAACAGATACAGAATACGCACTTACCGGTAGCCAAATGTACGTTCCCGATTCCGTTTTGGTTCAAGATGAAAACGATCTATCGAGAAAAAATAGTATGGAATCACTCCATCTAAAACCATCAAAGGTTAGAATGTGTTACTACTTGTATCATTATCCTTAGTACTTGCTTTTCCCTTTGCTTATGTATAGTATCTAAATTTTATTATTTCATATAGGTGAGTCCTCACATAAACATATGCGTTACCAGAGAAGTAAAACAGATACTCCCACTGTCGGATGGAATAGAAATTGTACACGCTACACCTGCAGCTGGTCATTTGAGTTCCGCATCTATATATCCGGCCTGTTTAGCACCATATTGTTTCGCGACTGCGTGTAGCGACGGAGTTATCAGATTTTGGACGGTATCAACTAACCCAAAACAAGTTAGGGAATTTAGTCATCTCATGTTAGAGGAAGATGGAGTTATTGTTAATACTAACAAAGTTTGGACAGAATGGAATATGATTAAGGAGTCCGCAATTGAAATAGAAGGGCAGGTAAGACTCTTGACAAACGATAATAAGAACCTTTTCTGAATATATTTTTTATCCAGGTACTTAACATTAGTGTCGCCTATTCTGGAAGGCTAGCATGTGCTTACAAATACGGAAAAAGCTTTACCAGACCGAATAAAAACGATCAAGATTCAAGATTTATAAATCTATGTGTCGCTATATACGAATGCGAGTCGACAGGAGGCAGCGAATGGATTTTAGAAGACGTTATCCATTTAAAAAATATTCATCTTCCAAGAATAGATATCAACAAACACCTGGATCTTAGCTACCTTTATGATTCGAAGACTCTCAAAAAGAAGCAAAGGATCAATGAAGTGTTGCATACTTTCTCTGGTGATGATAGACAGACTTTAGTTACTGAACCCAATATGAAATCAACATTACTGGCCGTACCAAGTTTCACCACTCTTCAATCTTTGAGAAAGTCCATTTCGGAAATGGGCAATATTTGTCCTTTGACGCAGAAACATATAGTACAACTGGATTGGGTGTCCAATGAAGATGGATCTCATATACTAACAGTAGCTGTTGGCAGTAAAATAATGCTGTATACTCCATTATCTACTGATTTGGCTCAAGCTAATGTCAAAGCTATGAAAGAAAGTTTGAACAACTATCGGCCGATATTGAGAAAAGCCAGTTCACTTGCTCAACCCATGTTTGTGGACGATTTCAAATGGATGACATTAAGAAAAATTGAGCTGCAAACTGCAGACGGTCTACCAGCACTTCCTATGCAGATTAGCTGGGTTAGAGATGGAATACTCGTGGTCGGTATGGATTCCGAAATGCACGTTTACACTCAGTGGAAGCCACAGAATCCTTCGCAACAGAATCAAAATAACGAAACTGAGAGCAGAAATGGAAGAGACGTCGATTTTCGTACTTTGACGCAAGAAAACCAAAAGAAATTAGCAGCCGTTCCCACTCTTGGACGAATAAGTTCTGTTAACTTGCAGATTTTGGATCGCAAAAGAAACAAGGAACAGAACTTTGATTATATGCCGGATTATGGATTATTTGAGGCTTCTAGAATTGCTTGTCCAGTTTTACCGCAGTACCATCCCAAGCAACTCATGGAGCTGTTGAATTCTGGAAAAATACGGTAAGTAATAGTGAGATAGATCTATTGTTTTGAGAATTTTCTAGCACGTCTTATTTAATAAACCTTTTTTAGATGGGTGAAGGCGATCTTGGTGCATCTCGTGAAGTGCATAGGAGGCAACCAAGACGCGTCTGAAGAAATCCAAGGTTGGACCCGTAGCAGGACTCTTTCTGTCAGTTATCCACCAGGTAGTCCTGAGCATAGAGCTAGCATTGGAGAAATCAATTTGGACTACGACGAAATCAATAACATCCCTCCTTTACCTTTGTGGACCCTTCTCGCTGCAGATAAAGAATCATCAGTTACTCAAGAAGAGAAAAAGGATTATAATGAACTTTTCGATAGCAATGTAGTGACGGATGATCATACGTTGGATAATTTGCTGGACGAACAAGACGACCAGCGTAGACCATCAGAAAGAAATATGGGTTTGATGCATTTTACACCAAAGCAAGGTTAGTAATTTTTTGTTAAATTATATTTCAATTAAGGTACATTTTATGTACACCTATCTGACTTATTGGGATTTTTTTTTCTTCAACAGGAAGAATTTTATCTCGTCTCTTGACTCACATTCACTTGCCTGGATTATCCAGTTTGGATCAGATGCATCTCTTGGCTCTTGCTGATACGGTTTCCACTTGCAATACTGATTTGGCTGAGAGATTTGCTATAGATGCTGCTAAGTCCGCCATGTTGAAAGAAAATCCTGTAGATCAGAAAGAAGAGTTGATGACAGACAATTTGGATGACTGTGGCTTGAGGTTTTTGTTGGCCATGAAGCATTATGGATATTTGTTAAGGTAAAAATTTTGTTTTTTAGATATGTATTTATTGGGGTGAATCATTTTATATTTTAGATGTCTTCCATTGGCTCAAAGAACTCTATTCCAAAAGCAAGGAGTCGGTAACAACAACTTAGCTTGGGCGTACCACTCAGAAAGCCAAGAAGAATTGCTGAATTTGATCCCGAGTTATGCAAAAGCGGAACCTTTGTGGTCAACACTCAGAGAACTGGGCGTTGGCTGGTGGGTCAGAAACATTACTCTTTTGAAGCAATGCGTTCAAGTAATAGCTAAAGCTGCTTATCAAATTAATCAAGATCCTATGGACGCTGCTTTATATTATTTGGCTTTGAATAAGAAAAATCTTCTTTGGGGGTTGTACAGGTATGACACTTTAAATTCTTTGGTAATGAATTGTTAAAAAAAAATAACCTTGCAGATCTAAACGAGATGATAGAATGACGGCTTTCTTCTCCAATAATTTCTCTGAAGACAGATGGCGTAAAGCGGCTTTGAAGAACGCCTACGCTCTCTTGGGAAAGCAAAGATTCGACCATGCAGCCGCTTTTTTCCTGCTGGCTGGCAACCTAAAAGATGCTGTAGAAATTTGCCTCAACCGATTGCAAGATCTGCAACTGGCTATTATCATCATACGAATATATCAAGGAGATGGACAAGAACTCAAGAAGTTACTTTACAGGGAGATCTTGGGCCGAGATGAAAATGGAGAAAACCAAGACATGACTAAAGCGCATCCAGATCCTTTCCTTCGTTCAATGGCATTGTGGACTTTGAAAGAATATCAGCCGTCACTCGACACTCTATTAGTAGGTAATGCCGGTACTCAACATGCGGCTCATGATGAAGAAGCTCGAGAAAGGAAAGAAGCAGACCCGAACGTATTCAATTTTTATGTGTATCTCAGGACTCATCCGCTATTGGTTCGTCAGCATTTAACAAGTTACGGTACGTAAGATATATATTCTGAATTTTATTTTATTTAGAATCAAATTTTATATATGTGGGTTCTAGTTGTTTGTAATGGTCAGTCTATAGGGACTTGTTTTGACCTCGAGCTTTATGACTAGGTCAAAACCTGAGAGATTTCGAATAATTTACATAGAAACTTTCTGTGTACTTCCCAGAGAATATTAAGAGTTGTTCCTTGGTTTATTTTTCTTCACCAAACATTTGTTCATAGGTAAACGTCGGCCGAATATAGCGAGTGGCTGCTTGGCTATCGGACATAATAATATCTTGTCGAAGAGATGGTTGGCTCTTGGCTCCATTCTTTCTTGCAGACCACCTCTGTGCTTTTACATTTTTTTACAAAACTGCTCTCCAGTTCGTCATGTGGAATATCCTAGGTATCTTAGGTCCTAGAGCTTTTGCCATATTCTGTAACACATCTATTACGACTATAAGACATGTTTGTAGCCTTTGTACCTTTGAAATATTAGGTCTCCCTAGTTCTGTTACCTTAGGCTACAAGCCCCGTAAGAGATGATGATAAGTTTCCAACACAGTGTCAGATTACATGGTTGTAAATAAATTTACTACCTAGAATTTGAACACGACTAATCTTAAGTTTAATGCGTTTCTTAAACTTAAAACATTTATTATAGGCAAAAGAAAAGTATGGGTGCCTGGAGGCAAGCAGATCGTCGTTGACGAATGGGTAACACCGCTGGAAAGGCAGTTGTACTTTGCCACGGCTCACGGTCACTTTAGAGCCGGATGTCCGGCTTTGGCACTCGAAGTTCTATCCAAGCTCCCTTACGTGGTTTCCGATAGACCCAAACAGAATGCCGAAGAATCTAACAAAAACAATTTCCAAGATCAATCCGATATTGTAACTGGAACAATATCTTGGGATAGTAAGCCTCAAATGAGCGCCGATTTAGATTGGGGAGCGCCGGTGACTGATATGGGCGTTAAAACGGACGATTTTGCACTAAAATGGAGCGACGATGAAGGAGACAAGGATTCGGAGGATTCAGATGGAGGTTTAAGTATGGCCATTGGAGGAAAGAAGGACGAATCTAAAGAGGAAGACGTCGAAAATGAAGACGAGGAAGAGAAGCAACAACATATCGACATAATGGCGCAGCAGTTGAAATTCGTAGCTTGTTTGAAGATTCTCATGGAAGAATTATCTACTTTGGCAACTGGGTTTGAAGTTGACGGTACGTTATACTTCTTAATTACTTAAAATACATATGAAATATTATATTTTTAGGTGGCCAGTTAAGGTACCAACTTTATTTGTGGTTGGAGAAAGAAGTGGAGGCTTTGAGGGAGCTTTGTAATTATACTTCGTCCGAAACCGCTGATCAAACTGAGCTGGAACAAACTCTAGAACCGGAAAATACAAGTAGCGTGGATGCATCCGGTAAACCGACGCTCCACGAGATCCTCGTTCAAGAAAAATTGGACTTTGAAGCTAAAGTTCAAAGGGCGGCCAAAAGGAAGCGATGGTTACGAGGTAAACTAAATTTAATTAAATAAAGCGACAAAATAAATGACCGTTCAAATTTTTTTAGCGAATGAAACGTTGCTGAGAACTCTATTGAGTTACTGTTCTTTGCACGGTGCTACTGGCGGTCTGGCTTCAGTAAGAATGGAACTTATGTTGCTATTACAAGAATTGCAGCAGGAAAAAACGCACCAACAATTGTTGAGTCCGTTGCCGTTCCCTACAAGTCTGCCTCTTCTAGCGGCCAGCGTCGCTAGTAGTAAAACTGTTGTTGCTGATCCAATTAGATATCTTCAGTGTCTTACACATGATATGTTACACACGGTAAGTTAAATAAATACACTATGCCCTCATACGAATGTAGAGTATGTGAATCCTGTATTAAGTTTTACCTTTGTTTTAGGTTGTAGAAATGGTACAGCCGCATACTAGTCAAAGTCAATTGTTGGTCATAAGAGACTTGGCCATTGCATTGTCCGCATGTATATATCAATCGCTATGTGATTCTGATACATTTAAAAATTCCTTGCAAGAAGCACAGGTAATGGTTTTATTTTTATAAATTTTAGATGTTTGTGTTTTAGTGCTAATTGTCTATTTACAATTTTCTTTTCAATTCAAATCAAAGCTTACTCTGCTTCTAACAGATATCAACTGTCAATTTTTTATTAGTAGGCTCCTTAAGACTATTTTTTATTGGTCTTTTTGATTTAACGTATAAACTAGTTTTTATTCTGAAGAGTTAATCAGCTAATTAAGGTTATTTCCGCATTAATAATAATAAAAATCACTGATGACCGGTGTCCGGTACGTTTCGTTATTGAAAGAATAACTATCGGTCCGATAAAGTTATGTGTCCAATAAATAATAAAGTGTTTCTGAAAACTTATCTATAGATAACTATCTCTCAATGGTAATTCATCATTTAACTAGTTTTGACATATTCTCACTAGATGGTTTTTGACAATTTAACGTCATATTGTCATTTTCATACATAGAAAAATGGAAGGCGAAATTTCTAAAAGTGCAATGTTTTGAAAATAATTTTAGAATAAGTCGGTAATTTTTATGATAAAACTTTATAAAACACTGAAAGTTGTTTACCTAAATCTGTACTGAGATTTATATTCTGTCATTGTGAACCCTTAATATTTAGGACACGAGCCGCCATTGAGTATAAAGAACTTCAATCAGCGGAAGTCCTTGGTTCTATGGTTGTTGAATTCGCTTAATACCAGTTTCAATTTGATTTTAAAGCGTCGATGCTTCTTGGGTTTGAGTATGGATTTTGTCGAACCTGTCATTGAGGTTGGCAAAAGGACTTTATTTTCTTGTTTTTCTTTATGTTTTAGTTTGCTTCTAAAGGGGTTTTTAAAATTTTTAAACTTTTGCTCAGAGGACCATATGATTACAATTCAAAGGTGAATTTTGTAATTGATACTATCAGATCCCTTTATTTCTAATTTTCACCTAAATTTATAATACTATAAAACAAAACAATTTAAAATAACAATTAGAATTATTTACTTTTTAAATATACATTAGAAAAATATGATTGCATGTTCGATCTCCAGTTCAATGCTTCGAAAATAATTTTAAAATAAGTCAGCAATTTTTATTATAATTTACATATCGAACTCGAAGTGAAATTGGAACAAGTTTATATTAACTGCATATGGAGTTAAACATTTTAATTTAATAAATAATAAATTTCATATACGGGATGTTAATTTAATATGTATAAATTTTTTTTTTCAAATCTGAACATATGTATTTTCAAATGAGGAGCTGGCGGGAAAAACGATGAGGGTGCAAATTTTACGAAAATCGAGATACATGACGCAATCAGAGCTGGGACGAATTCTCAAAAACTTGATTCGAATCACGAACCCGAATCACGAACCCGAATCACGAATCCGAATCACGAACCCGAATCACAAGTTGTGATTCGAATCACGGATCCTATGTTCAAATCCTTTTTACAAAAAAAAAAAAAAAAAAAAAAAAAAAAAAAAAAAAAAAAAAAAAAGGATTCGAATCAAGGTATTTCTACTATCAACTATGTGCTTATTACGGACTAAGACGTGCATAAAAATGGTTGATTCAAGAAGATGTTGAATATAAACTATATGAACCATAAATAAATTAGAATCTACAAAAAAATTATTTTATTTTTGTTAGCGTTGATAAGAATTCGACTTAAATGTACAGCGTTACGCCGCTGCGTTAACAATAACAAGCAATTCCAAGTGGTTGTATTAGAAATGTGCAAGTAAAAGAATGGAATAATCGTGAATACTTTTCTCTTTGACAAATATATTTTTATTAATGACAAAATTACTGACAACTCTCAAACTAAGTCTAACAATAAGTATATGGGTAAGTATCAACTCTAACAATCCTCCCCCCTGAGCTTAAACCCAAATCTTTGTACAGGTTTGACTAGACGTCCACTTCTTGTCTTCAAACCTTCTTTTGTTTCTTTTAGACGTGCCTGTCCATTCACGTCGTCTTTATCATCCTTTTCTTTCCCAACTAGCTTCTGTGTCTGCTCTGAATATTGCTTAACCGCCTTCTTTTCTAAGCGCTCTTTCCTTTCCTTCATAATATGAACCTTACTTTCGCAATCTGCGTCTACTTCCAATGGGTACAATTTTTGAAAAGGCCTTAATATTAGAAATGTGCAAGTAAAAGAATGGAATAATCGTGAATACTTTTCTCTTTGACAAATATATTTTAATAAAAATATATTAATAAATGACAAAATTACTGACAACTCTCAAATTAAGTCTAACAATAAGTATATGGGTAAGTATCAACTCTAACAGGTTGTATGCTAAGCAAGCGTTAGAGGCATATTAATCACGAGCTTTGTACAATACAGACTGTTTTTGTTATGACTATACATATCACCAACATTTTAAAGTTTTCATTTGTCATGCCGTTCCTTCGAGGTGCGTCGATTATACCTGCAAACAAAACTAATTGTTCGACTGCACCAGACGATGGAAGGCAAGCGTTAAGTTTTAGGATTTTTTATATTGGATATTTATTGCTAATGTGTAGATTATTACGTTTATCTTCTAAATATTCACAATAGGTATTTAGTCTCAGTCTGTTTCAGTTATCAGTTTACACTTCGCGACCGTTAGCGCCGGCGTAGTTTGGTCTCTAAAAGGATCCGAGATTAATATTGGTGATTCGAATACGAATCCTTTAGGATTTCTTCGGCGAATCTGGATCACGGATCCTTTTTTTCTTAAGTATTCGAATACCGCTCTAGGATCCTCAAAAAGTATTCGATACTATGTGATCTATAGGCGCAATCTATAGGTATTTATATGTATTATTACCCTAGTAAACATTTGCAGGGATATTGATAAGGGTCGCCATATATATAGCTAAAAATATTTTAGTCAGTTGCGGGAAAACCGATGAGCGTACCTGGCCTTTGATGGAATATAGCTGAACGTGACTTTCTATTGAAACCATGGCCGTGTCCGTAGAAAAGCCAACACCGCGGTAATAACTCTGCCAATACTAAAATGGAAAAACAAGAATCTGATTTTTGTGCCTCTACTTTTGTTATTAATTACTTAAACATGATACTGCACTGCTGTAAGTACTAAGTTAAGATTATATTCACACCTTCCGTGAGACAGTGCTCGAAAGTTAAAAATTCAATTTTCTCCAATTCAAAGTTTTTGCACATTCATCGTTCCTCCCGCCAGCTCCTCAACTATCAAGAATTTTCCGTTATACTGGAAAAGGTTGTAAATTTTGTTATTTCAAATAAGACGCCCTATATATTCCAACATTTTTGAATAATTCTAAGATCAATTCTGTACACTTTTTATTTAATATGTCCTATACCTATTTACAACCGTTTCTTATACATTGAAGGTTGTACTAACTTATTATTATGTTTCTTTTCTGAAAATAAAATATAAAAATAATTTATTTCATTGATATAAAATTATTTTAAAAATCGCATCCTGGCTATTAAAAGCTGGGACATCCTGTATAGCACAAGCTACGACGTCAACTCATTAAAACAAACTTGGACATCTTGAGTATGAGATTATATCCTGCGTTTTCAGTAATTGTACAAGTGATTCTTTAGGATAGCTAAAAAGTATGGTAACAAGGTGTTTTTTTTTTAACACATGAACATAAACTATGAAATTATAGCCCTACAATTTCATAATTATAAATACACCTTTCCCGTTACTTGACCATTTCCCATTACTCAGGCACGAAAACAGTGTGGAACTTTTGAATCTAGTAATTTTACAAACAACTTATTTTCTATTTCTCTCTTTTCCTCACCCCAACTACACTCGTTGGGTTGGATACATCGTTGATTTAAATAACTCATGAGTGGGTGTATTTTTTAAAAACACAAACTCTTACTAATAAAAAACATTTGCAGATGTGTAATTGATAGTTCTTGAGCTCAACAGGGGTTTCCTGATCAAATCTGTTGGAATAAAAAATAATTTGCTAATGGTTCTATTGGTTTATTTCTCGGACTATCTTGATTTTTGTGATTACAAAGTCCTCAACATTGTTAAGCAGCATTTTGTAAATGTTTAGTACCTTTGATGGGGTAGATCAGTTTTACATTGAACTGAACATACCCGCCGAAACAGAGTTTCATAAAACCCAACAACTTATTACTAAATAATTTTTATTTTTTTTTTTTTTTTTCAGGAAATAGGAGCCACGCATTTAGTCGGTCGTAAGAGACGAATTTCCGTAAACGAAGGTCACAATATTATAACTTTGCCGGCAAAATGGCCGGGCGTGACGAGTTTACGAGCGCTATTGGCCAGAGAAAAAGATGAAGATACTCCTCGACTGACAGTTATCCTTTGCGAAGCATTTACAGCCGTGTATTTAGCGCTTTTATTATACGGACTCGTTACATTCGATTGCATAATTTTGTTTCACGTGAATGCTCACACGTTTGACTCAGATATTTGGGGAAGGCAAGTAGTAACATTTATAATTAAGTATTTTTGCCGATGAGATTTCAATTTGTCAATTATCAACATTTGATCGATGAATTTTAGGTAAAGGAGAAAAACTTACCTATTCTATATGATTTTGAATTTCTTTCTTTTCCTTTTTTACATTTTTTTTTAAATTTTCCTTTATTTTTCTTTATCTTTCCTGTTTTCTTAATCCCTTTGCCATTAACGGAGTTATTGGTTGTACCTTGCCCGCTTAAACGTTTTCTTTTTCAATCCCTTCCAAAGATTTTAATTATTTAATTTATATTTTTTCTCTTCTAATCTCCATATCTAAAACATTCTAACAATTTTTTCATTGTCCATTCTTGCTATATTCGTTACAAATTTAATTGTTAATATTTATCAATTTTATTAATAATTAAATGGTACTTACATTTTATAAGAAAGAAACAGCAAAGGGATATGTTTGGTATATGCAAATTTGTTTTTATTGTAAAAAAAAGCTAAAAACTACTTAAATCAATTCTCAAAGTACATACAACAGAAATTTAAAACAAATTTTAGCAAATTAAGGGTTATGTATAGTTTATATGGTAAATTTATACAAGAACTAAAAACTATTTAAATCATTTTACATACACTGTTCAAAACTTAAAGTAAAAACGGAGATTTTAATAAAATTTTATCAAACAGAAAACCGCCAATTTAAAAGATAAACAATTTTGTGTGCAAAACTACTGTGTGACGTCACACTGCCGCATCTAGCAAATAGTTCAGCCCTCTTTATCACGAATGTTATGGTATAGTTTATAAAAAATAGAAACTATAGTTAATGATCATTAAATAATATTAATAAAAAAATTAGTACTGAAGAAAACACAAACAAGCACCGAAACATCCCAAGTTATAAGAACCATAAAAATATAGATATTTCCTAAACATTTTATGGGATAATTAGGAATTTGTAGTTTATTCTAGTTTTCCTTTTTAAACCTTTTCTTTTACTTTTGTCGAATTGGTTTGGCTCGTGATCGGTAGCCAGAAGCATTAAAGAATCGCTCATTTGAGAGAATACTATAACTACAGAAGAGTCGTTTCTGTATAAAGAATGTATTCAATTATGTTGGTGCAATAATCTCAGAATTGATGATTTTTTAATTGAGCCGGTATTCTCGCAAATTTTTAATTTCATTTCTATACCTGAAACTTAAATACGAACTCAAACTTTTATGTAGTTATGGCTGTCACTTTTTGTAAGCGTTAAAAATTTAGTAGCGCAGCATTTCATGTTTACACTTTTCAGGTTATTTGGAGGCGGCATCAAGAAACTCCTTCGCACAGCAAGTTTATCGGGAAATATCCCCCATCACCCGCAATACACCACCCAGCAGAGCGTACAAACACCCGTGGAGGAATCCAGCGGCCCCGCTACGTGGCTTAACAAACAAAGAGTAAAACTTAATACTAAACTATTAGGACAACAGCCTTCCGTAATGAAAGAAGACAAACCCACTTACAGGGAACAATTTGTCCCACCTGACATGAGCGTACTGGCCTATCTATTGCAGAAAGTAAGACGAGACGTTACTCCAATAAGCGCCAGTAGATTTACAGAAAGTTGCAGGAAGGTTGTTGTACGCCTACTAGATGTGAGGTTCATGTCGCCGTATAACAAAATTGCTGCAATTTTTGCCGAATAATCGCATGATCCGATAATAGTATATTATGCAACGATCATGTAATGATGGTTATTAATACACGAGCATTAACCGGGATACGAAACGAGCCAAAGGCGAGTTTCGTATGGTTTATGCGAGTGTTTTAATAACCATTACATGAGAGTTGCATACGCTATTTTTTCTACACCCGATAAATAATCAAGACCTATAAATATTCTATTTATATTGGCATTGAACACAATAACAGTAATTACACGTATTTCTATAAAAAATTCTACAAAATTGTAATTAATGGTATTACCTTGGGTATTGGTATTACCACAGATTTTTGGGGCAAAATATTTTGTACTGCATTTTCTCCTTTCTCCGATATGTGTGGAGGAGTCTTCTATATCGCTGATATCAGACATTTTAATATTATAATTATCGAAGTTTAGCTATCTACGAAAATTTAATACGTTTTGACAACTAAAACAATTACATAGGAATTTAGGACAAACGTCAAACATCATGCTTGATTGAAAAATTGTAGGTTTCTATTGATTAAAAATCTGTATCATAATGAAAAATCTGTATCATAATGGGTATCATTATGAAACGGATTTTGGGCATATAAGTGCATTATTATAATACGGGTGTAGAAAAAAGCTTTTACTAAACTGAGCTTATCGTTATCGTGTTGAGTTGGTGAAACAAGTTCGAATAACAGAATTTCGAATGACAAAATTCCGAAAACAATAGTTCAAAATTCGAAAGCCAAAACTTCGAAACTATTGGTGAACGAAAAAATGATCGAAAGTCAAAAGTGAGATAGATAGAAACCAAAAAATATCGAAACCAAAACAGATGATTGAATTTACAAATGATCGAAATCACATATATGTTTGAAAGTTCTTATTTTGCGAAGCAACCCGCGATGGCTCCAAGCCACTGATTAGTTAAATTACTTGAGTTTTTTTTTTTTATTTTTCTCATTTTTTGTATAATTTTTCTACGAAACAACTCGCGATGACTACAGGACGCACAGGTTAAGTAAATTAATTTTTTTTTTGTTTTTAATTAAGGTGATTACAGCACCCCCTTATAATTTTCGAACAAGCATATCTCAAAAAGTAATTTTTTTTTTAATTAAAATTTTGGCAAAATAAATTAGGCAAAAATATCTGGAAAATGCTTATATTTTAAAGTTTTAATTATTTCCAGTTTCCAAGAAAAAAAAATCAAAGGGCTTTAAATTTTGAAATATCATAATGAAAATAAATGCATTCCTCAACAGCAGCATTCTTAATATAATCCCCAAATTTAAGCTCTTAATCTCTTGTTAATGATTCGCTGAAATTAGTGGCTAAAACGCCTCGTTAAGTGCTGCTTTCTGATGTAACACGTCTGTAACTATCGTATCGTACACTCTGAGTCATCATTCGTTTCTTGCAACGATTTACACCAGTTTACACCAGAAAATAGCACTTAACGATGCAATGACGGTTAAGGGGGAGGGGGTAACGTTACCTCATAATCGACAGTAGTTAGCGAATTAAAGATTTTACTGATTGCCGGAGTAGTTAAGGGTCTATTGACCGGAGAACCTTGGATATTGAGAAATTAAGTCGGCGAAATAATACTACAATAATAAAATTCTGAACTTGCTTCGCTTACGTAACTTCACAACTCACAAAACGATATTCCTTACAAAGTTGGGAAATTACTATTTTGGCTCCGTCGTTGAAACCAGGGTACAATATTTCTGGACTGACCTCTCTTACGAAAGTTCAGAAATCCTAAAACGGTATAAAATTCGGCATAGTAAATGCTAATTTTTTCGAACTGTAACAAATGATTTATTTTATTGATATTTAACAGGCGACGGTCGACCTAGAGGATAACGAATAAAATCCTAATGGTAAAGGCTAATAATGAAAGAATTCTACCATATATGTTCCACGGCTTTCACACGATTATCTTTATCTTTAGTTTACTTCGGAAACTCACTGAAAAAAAAACGCAGCGGGAAGAGATCAGCGGCAATAATAAAGAATTCTCGGGGAGCCCGGTTTTATACTTACGCTCGGACTAGTTCGGTTTCCAAGTGGTTCGGAATGGGAGTATCCAGTATTTACAAATCTGAGGACCGAAAAAAAGGTCTTTTTGACATTTGCGAACATGACCAGATAATTTAACTGAATTTGAACATTTAAAGCTGTAATCCAATTTCAGTAAGTAAATATAAATTTTGAACTACGGTGGCTCTCGTAAATATTCAAAAATGGGAATTTTTAAGAAATAAAAATACGGGGATCCTTGAGAACGTTAACAGGCGGAAATTAACTTACTTTACAGTAAATATTTTTACAATTAAATCAAAGGAAAATTTAGTGACTTCGTCACAACAGAGTTGGTTTATGTTGAAGTGGTGGTAAAATGACAAATGAAAGATCGCAACATGCTCCCAATAATTGTTCTTTCCTTTTGTACTTTTCGATCATTTGAACATTCGATTAATTGATTATTCAACATTTTTAATTTTGACAAATTACATTTTATATGTAAATTTATATTATTTGGATTTTTGATGTTTTTGTGATTGCGACTATTTATAATTTCGATCAATTCATTTATCCCTTCGACCTATTAACTTCTATACTTGTTCCGTTCTCTTGTTTTGACAATAATAATTTTTGATCTCCAATTATTAAGCAAATAAATATAATTAATTAAATAAATAATATTGTGATCTATTCGACCTAACGCTAGGGACAGAAGCTAAATAAATTTCTTTTAAATAATTTAAAAATAATATACATTCCGCCATCTTTACTTTCGAACGTTTGTAAATTTGATTTATTGTTCGAACTTTTGGTCTTTTGAAAAAATTTCCAATAGAACTTTTTTGAAAATTCATGCTTGTTGTTCGCACTTATTTCACCAACTCATTGTGTTGTTGTACCTTTGACTCATCACTTATTTTACACAGAAACATTTTTTTAAATTATTATTTATATCCAAGAAATGATTATTAGTTAACCTTCCCTACAATGTTTTGTTGTTTATTAATGACTGAAACTAATTCTTCATACCTCGATCTTTATTGCGCGATTGATGTGTAAAAAGCGATTTATTTTATTAGGATTAAGTATTTATTTGTGAAAAACATATCAAGGATAATCCAATTTAATGTCCCCCACCCCCACGTGATTCCGAAACGAAAATAATTTAACCATTTTGTGGTGTAGTCACTTACACAGTTAAAAATATAACCGTTTTCTTTTAAGCATTGATTCACTTTCACCATTGTCAGTTTGATCACTCGTACAAATTTATTATTTATTCCCAGCTGCTTCGGCCATTACGTAGTTTTTCCTTCTGACTATGTCATATGTCCATTGGAAGGTGACAAATAGAATGTATTTTTAGGGTTCGTATCTAAAAAAAAAATTGCCAAAATTTGTCCTTTTGTTTTTTCCTGTTTAGAATTTTTATGATTATGAAATATAAACTGGCTCATTTATAACAAATCTTTTTTTTTCCATAATTATTTTACATATTTTGATTACACACACTTTAACTTGCTATTAATTTATATCGTATTGTTTGTACCTATTTGTTCTCGATTGTTTATAAAATCTATAAAATGTGTTTTTTTTTTTATTTTTAACAGCCAAATACCTGTGATTACATCGAAGAAGTGGAAAGCGACATTGAAGAAGAAGACGAAGATGAAGACGTATTTGACGCTCCTGTAACGAAAACTGCCAAAATCGTAAATTGTGAACATTCAGATCCAAATTCGTATTCTTGGTTGGTGCTAAGATTGGCAACTTTGCGTATAGTCCAGCATAAAATAAACGAATTCTTGGCGGTAATGTATTACATACTTTCTCTTAATTCTTGCTTCGTAAAAAATCGTCACTCACCTTCAAACTACTCTTAATGTATCTATTGCTATCAATATACCCATTGCTCTCAATATACCCATCGAAATGTCCTTTTCTTTGTACAAAAACTGATACTCTTCGAGTTAAATTGACTTTTAGTTCCTCTCCTATACCGTTTTTTTTTTAAATTTCACTAACTATACATCTGCATGAACGCTTATCGTGATTTCTCGATTAAAGTCCAAATCTTCATCTTCCTTCTCCAAATTCTCCACTTTTTTCTCTAGTAATCTTTTCTGGTTACTTGTGCCATTAACGTTGAATTTTGCTATACTTCCCTTTCTATTATTTTTCATATTATGGATCTTGTCCAAACCAACTCTGTTGACCGACTGCTGTTCAGTTATTAGTCATTCTTATGTTATTCATTCAGCTATTAGTACCACATTAATAAAAAGAAGTTTTCTTTAATGATCGTTCTCTAACTTTAATCCATTAGTTGGAAGAAGTTTTAGGCTGGTACTGACGCTTTCCTCAATTGTTATAAAATATGTACAAAAGCTCCTGGAGTAGTTCGTTCAAACATCTTTACCTCCATTTTTTGTTTTGTTCTAACACAATCTGAAGGAATTATTAAAAAATGCTGTATTCAATTAAAGGTGGCTGGATTGGAAGCTAGCGAATTACCAGTAGCCAGTCCAATGATCCACAGCAGTCTCAGAAGATTGACAAGTTGGCAAGAACTCCTAAAGAAGGAATTGGAAAGCAGACAGACTCCTCCCGAGTACATACCTGGCTGTTTCGTAGAAAATACACATGGGCCGCCTATTCAAAAATACAGGTAACCAACTTGTATTCTAGTTCGACGTTGCCCCTATGATGCTTTATTTACTTTGACATACGTTCTAGGTCTTCTCAACTAAAGTTTTTCTAATTCTTAGGCAACTTTTAGAGCCCCACAATACTCCGTTCAGCAACAAAAGTTCAGCGGCCGCTGCAAGAAATCTTTGGATTTATCTGGTTCGTCAGGAGCTCGTACAGGATATATTCATCAGAGCAGTGTTTGGTAAACGCAGATCGTCCGCTACAATGGACGAGTTATTACCCCATCCGGAGCCCGCTGTTTTGGAACCCGTCAGGATAATTCACAAGGAGCAGGATTCGATCGCGGCTTTTTGCCTGAACCATGCAAGTTAAAGTGTTGAGATAGTACAATCTGAAGGGTTTGTAGAGGACATGGAAGAGGGGAGTAATCAGGGGCAAAAGTATTAAAAATCCCCGAACTTATGTACATGGCTAAAGGGAAGAGGGAGGCGAAGGTCTCGTTGTTTAGTTTTCCTTTATATCTCGAAAACAATGTAAGATGTTTTCTCGTCGCAAAGAAAATAATACTTTTGATGCCTTCTTACAATAGGAAAACACTCGGGCGCTAGTTTTATTAAAGATTTTTGCTTCACAACTCTCCGATATAGCTCGAAAAAGGACTTGGACAGCTTCAGATGAGGATAACAGAAAATTCCTTGGGTCACGTTTTTATCAGACTTAAATCGTTATTTACATGACAAAGAAACCATTGGGAAAAAATTTCTCTTTGACAAATGAAAGCTAACAAAATTTCCATCAAGAATATTTCTATTCTTGATGGTTTCTAAGATTCCCTAGCTAAAATCGTAAATTTTATATGTTTCACCTCATGTTATTTCTTTGTAGCATTGTATCCTCCACTTTTGTAGCAAAATCTTCAGAAAAGAAGTTGTAGAGGAGCAAATTAATTTTATTCAATGTTGTAACCTCAACTGGTCCAAAGTTGTAGCAATTTGAAAAGAACACTCTGCATTGCTCTTTCTCGTTTTTCATTTATCAATCGTTTATGAATAATTTCATTTATTTACAAGTTTTGAAAGTAATTTTAAAAAACCGACTCCTGGACCCCATCATCAGATCTAGACCAAATTTATATGGCCCTAACAAAAAATAATCATAGAACTCGGACAATATGATAAAGAATTATTGCTGAACATACATAAAAAATATATTCTGACGAATTGAGAACCTCCTCCTTTTTTTTTAAAGTGCTGTCATATCTGGTGGATGGAGTAAACATTCAATGTTATCAGTGTACGCTTTGGTTTATTGGTTCAAAAAGATTGTATAAAACACATTTTTCTTTTTGTTTTTCTCATACCACCTTCATTGAAGAAGGCTAATGGAAATGGATTTAATTCGTATTACAAATAATCCAAACTTCAAACATAAATATTCAGAATCACATTATCGTTATCAAGGGTAATGCCTCTATTATTTGGTCTAAACTCTCAAAGTTTGCCTTCTGTCACATAAAATAGTTATAAAACATTTAAATTATTACTAACGAATTTAGATGCATATCTCTGACTCAGCTGTAGAGAAATGACAGGCCGAAGAGTGTCTGTGAACGAGATAATTCGTAAGGTCTTTAAAAAACTATTCTTTTTGCTATTTATACTGTAATTAGAGTTTTTAATAATATAATGATTAAATAGGCTTTTTACACCAGATCCTTGAAAAACACCGTGGCAGTCAACGTGTCAAGAATAGGAAAAAATGAATCAAGTGCTTTTGTAGGAAATTTTGTTAGCTCTGTAGAGTATTTTTTCAAAATAGCCATATAGTTTTCGAGATATAAAGGAAAAACTGAAAAAAGCTAAGCTACTTTCGGTGACTTTTAGTATTTTTACTGCCCTAATTTTCCTTTCCTCTACAACCAACTTTAATTGACTGAAATGATAGTTTTATGCAAACTACAAAAAAATTATTAACAAATTTATGTTTTAATAGGTAAATGGCGGGTTAATAGCCATGGCCACCCCAAGAGAACTTCAGGAGATGGATATATCGCTTCTATTGGAACTTCCGGCTTGGTTAGAGGACGAATGTGAACTGGACATTCTAAATTTGACCAAAGACGTACCAGATTCTTCGGTTCCCCCTTTTTTGGTGATTCAGAGCACCTCAGACAAGGGTAAGGAAACACAACCAGGAAGTCCGCAAGCTGGTGTTGCAGGACAGAGTGGAAGAGGAGCCAGTGTTGTAAGATTTTTCTTCTCTTTTTATGTATATTTCGAGAGAAAATTTGGTTTAATAGAGAGTAAATTCTAGAGTTACATTCTGACGAGTAATTAAAATTAAATCTAGTTAAAAAGTCGCAAAATGTATTATAAATTAAAAAAGGGTGTTTGATCTCACCCAGTATTGTAGATCAAGAATGAATCGTAATTATATTTGAAGAAGTTGATTAATGATGAATATTTTTCTTATCTGCATTCAAAATCAACGGAGATTGAAACACGCTGGTTTAAAAAACAAGAAAAATTTTTACTGTAAAGTGGACCATGGAACTTTGAATTGTACAACTTTAATTTTATATTTAATTTAAGAAGATTTGTTTTAATGTGATACCTAAGATGTGAAAAAAAGAAAGCTGGCTAAAAGTTCTGCCGGTGTGGTGAGTACGATGTGAGGCGAGACGCTGAAATGTGTACGGTTTCAGGGGAACTATTTTGTTTATAACCTTATATGCGTTGCTTTGGTTATGCTTAAAGCTATTGGTTAGATCTTTTTACTTAGTTGCAACGCCTAAGTGAGAGGCATGTTTACTATATCTTATGTAATTCACGTTTTTAATCCGATCTTTAATTTGAATTTGCAGTTTAGTTGTCACACACTTTCGTTGCATTTTAAATGGTGGATATAACTGGCTTATATTTCGTAAGAGTTTAAAATGCGGACAGATGTGCGTATTTAAACATTTTTATTTTGGACACAAGCCGCCACCACTCATCCTAATTTGACCTGCAAATTCTCTACTTCTCTAACATCTTTTACTCTTGTCGTTTCTTGCATAGAGTAATTTCTTTTTATGTAAGTTATATCTATGACATTTGTCTTTTCTTAGCCCTTTGAACAGTAGCTACTTTTCTATATTGGTCTTTGTGAACTTCCGTACTTGAGCTATACGTAAAAATAGACACACTGCAGTTACTGCTCTGCATCTTATTTTCTTCTTCTGTTTAACTAGTTTTTATAGTAAGATATATTAATTACTGTTCCAATAGTTTTGTTTTTTATTCTTACTGCAGCATCTTCATTTTGTAATTGTCTTGGGTTTAGCCTAGTTTGTCTGAAATGATTTAATCTTTGCTCACATATTTTGATTCCACGTTCATCTCAGTTTATATTTGTCAAAAACATCTAGAGCTTTTGTAGAAAGTGTTCGCTATATGATATTTCATTGTCTATTTCAATTTTTTGTTGTGGCCTTGTTATAATTCAGCGTTTCTTTAACAGTATTCCAAAGATCACTGCGATTCCTTTCCTTAATGATTTTAAATATGGAGAAAATTCAAAGGTTCCATGGCGTTCACTCAAAGGTACCGCGAAACTTATGTGCTATTTTTTAAGAAAGTAACTTTAAAAAGCAATAAAAATCATCGCCTCTAGGGAATTACAAAATTAGAACAATTACTAAACCTTGCTTCTTACACTTACTAATCTGCATATAAATATTATTTGAAATAATTGTCATTTTTGTTACTATTAAAACTACTAGTATACTATTGAAGCAGCTGTACTCAACCTTTTTTTCCTCCGGGCCACATAAATCTGTTTGTTATGCTACACGGGCCACAATGTTCTAAAAAAAGGTCCTCATATTGTTTTAGTTGTGTTATTGCTTTGAAAAGTCGCAAGGATAGGACTATAGGTCAACCATTTCAATTACTAATAATCGTTTGGGGCCAGACAAAAAATCTTGGAGGGCCGCATAGAACAGCTTGGAGGGCCGCAGGTTGAGTATGGCTGTATTGAAGCAAACCAAAGATTCCATGATAAAAGTGGACATTGGTTCCACCTATCAAAAAGATCAAGAAACGATGTTTTAGATGTTGGATAGTAGATTACTGGTTCGGAAATTGAAAAACAGGAGAATATACCTCACAACGAATTGAACAAGGTATAATTATTGGAACATGCACAAATTACAAAGACCGCAATCGCCCATTACGCATCTATGTCTGACGTATGTAGTAGGGCGAGTAGAGGTGGAGGTCGATGGCAGCGGTCTTTCTTTGATATATGTATGTTCCTTTTATAGCTTGTTCAATTCATTGTAAGGTATATTCCCTGTGGAGTTAGAGCTCTTGGAGTTGTTTACTTTCCGGTGGTCTACGCAGTCAAAGGCCTTTTTGAAATTAATAAATACTACAAATATTGATCGAAATGTATTTATATTTATGGAATAAATTACACGTAAAAAGTGTAGGACGATACTTTATATAAATAATTTATATAACAGCTTTATCTACAACTTTTTAACATTTCTTTGGGCGACTCTTTTTATTTCTGACTTTAATTTCTGGGGTTCAGACTTCAACCTAATTATGATATAAAATGTTTTTCTAGAATTTACGGATTTTAATAAATAACATACTAATATTGGATTTGTTTTGAAGTGTGGAGTGAGTGTGGTATAGTATATTTTAGAAATGTTTTAACAGGTTTATTTAAATTTGAAGTAGTCGCTGGTATTTTTTAATGTAATTTTTTTACTGAATAAAAAGCATATTCCAAAAATATAAAACTTTGAACATTAGGATACTATAATGAATAACTTTCTTGCACTTGTTACATTTTCGCTAGTTCTTCCAATTGTTATTAAATGATATTTTAAATTCTTTGTTTTTGTTGTTGTGTTAAATTATTGTAAAAGAAATAGTAATATTGATTAATGGGTCTTTTCAGGAAAAGTAATTTTTATACATTTCCGACGGACATGCCCTGATAAGTCGTGAAAAGTAGTCGACCTTTGAAATTTGATATAAAGGCATATCAGGGCGTCTCATTAAGAATGGAACACAAACAAAGAACAATTGAAGATTCTCTGATTAAAAATAATACGATCAAACGAAACATACTTAGATATGTTACTGGTTTTCTAAATACAGGGTGTTAAGTTTTAAAATTTAAAAATTATTAATGGCTATAATTTTACTAAATTCGTTACACATTTTTGGGTTCATAAGATAAAACTATCAGCAAAACAGTCAGTTAAATAAACTTTGCCAGTGGCGTACGGCATATATAAGTAACACCTTCATCCCCTCTTAAATTTTGCACCACTCTAAAAAACTTATTTGGACCCTAATTTTAAATTTTTTCACGTTTTTAAATAAATCATGTACTCTTGTTGAAAATTTATAAAAATATACAAAATTAAAATGAAGAATATCCACCTTTGAGTGTGAATATCTCGAAAACCAATCGCCTTATGAGTTTCCAACAAGAGTAAATGATTTATTTAAAAAAAAAATCAAAAATTGTAAAAGTATAGTCCAAATAATTGCACAGTGGCGTAAAATTTAGAGGGATGAAAGTTTATTTAACTGATTGTTTTGTACTAAATCCCCTTCTTATGTGTACCAAGTATCACCGGAATACCGTTTGCCACTAATTATTAATAAAAAAAACAGTTTATTTTTTAAACTCTGTATTTCGAAAACGAAGCGATATTCTAAAAAATTGACATCACATTTTCGTTTTAAAATTAGTTGAGAATTCTCCTCCGTCCTTTTGTCATAGAAGTATATCTCATTTTTTCACGATTTTGTTTTTATAATTTACATGAAACGAAAATTGTAAAAATTAAAAATCTCGAGTATTGAAAACCGTCTAAAAGTCAGTATTCATTTATTGTTTCTTCTTTTTTTGATTTTTGTTTGTAAGAAACAAGATTATTTTATTCAACCTGTGCTGAAAAATTACACAAAATACAGTGCAGGGTAGCAAGTATTAACGCACTTTTTTGCCTTCCTAACTTCACTATAGGTCTATTTAAAAAAAATCAGTACAAAACAAAAAACATTTATTTAAACTAATATTTAACAGAAAATCTTACGGAATATTGGTTAAAATAAAAAACAAAACATAAAGTCTATTCTTTTATTGGTATGCTGACATTTATCACACATAATTTGTAATAATAATAATAATAATAAAACAAATACAAATCGATTGCACAGGCAGCACATTTGTCTCTTTTTCTATATTTTTTTTATTGCATAAATACCAGCATACTAGGGTGTGGAGTACAAACGTAGGCCATATCGCGTTTTATTTTTTTTATAAAAATTATAAAATGTATTTTAATACTCGTAAGTAACTGAAAAATATATTAAGAAGGTGCTAATTGACAATAAATTAAATCGGCAAAGCAAACAATTAAAAATTTACAAAAATATCCTGAAAATTGTGATTCTGTAGTACGTTTGTACGCACCGTATGGTTAAGATTAATATCTCACTAGCGCACAAGAATTTTCCACTTTTGAAAAGTTTGTTTGGACACGTCTACTAGACATTTCCGTCGGAAATGTTTGTGGACATTTCCCCACGACCCATCACTAATATTAATATATTTTTTTAAGCGTTTGATCCATTTTTACACATGTATACAATAAATCAGTAGTATTTATATTCGATTGAATTCACAGTTGAATTAAACATTTTGTGAGTGCAACTTTTTATAAAATATTGTTTGGTTGTTCATTTTTACGATTTGTATTTTTTTAATACTGAGCAAATTAATTTGGATTGAATGTAACAACTTGCTTAGATTGTATTTTTGGATTATTCTTATAAATCGTATAAAAAGCGGAAATATTAATTAAGGTTAAAATTGGCCACAAAGAAGAAAATATGTATATTTTACGAGTAATATTATTATCAGCATTATCTATTTGTCTACTCCACTTAGATGTGTTTTGAGGAATTTAGATTTTGTTTTCCCTGATATCAATACTAACACCATTTTTCTAGGTTTGCGTCTCTCACACTTCTTCACTACATGCAACCCTACCGCTTTTCTTTGGGACATATACATTCTCCATATCTTCTAAACAACGTGATAACTTGTCAGGCTTGTCACATGACACTATACTTTAACCTTCCTGCTCTTAGTGCTCCTTCTCTATTCTAATCCTACATCGTTTTAAAAAACGAACTTAAGTACTTGAACTTTGATTATTACTTAAATTG